TTTTAGTTGTCCAGATCATTTCTTTCTATTTTTAGTAGAGACAGGGTCTTGCTCTTGCTCAGGCTGGTCTCAAATTCCTGACCTTGAGCGATCCACCCGCCTCGGCCTCCCAGAGTGCTAGGATTACAGGCGTGAGCCACCGTGCCCGGCCTCGGTTTTTTAAATTTTTTGTAGAGACGGGGTCTCACTATGTTGCCCAGCATGGTCTCAACCTCATGGCCTCAAGCGATCCTCCTGGCCTCCCAAAGTCCTGGGATTATAAGTGTGAGCCACTGTACCCAGCCCTCTAATAATTTTAGAAACAGCTTTTTGTTCTTTCTGCAGTTTTTTTTTTTTTAAGTCAGTAAGCTATGGAAAACTTAGTAGATAGAAATTGTAAGATAATCCAAATATGTTTAACTTCTGTGGTTATTCACTGGGAATATGGGTCAATAAAGAAAAGAGGACCACTCAATGTTTTTCAGCACCTGTATACCTTTCAGCATTTACAGTAAACTCAAATTTCAGTAAAATTAACAGAAGTGTTAACTGGAATTCATTATAATTATAAGAAGAAAGGAAATATTTAAATCCTTTTTAGATTAAAGGAAAAAAATTGTCTTGGTATCTTGACCAAGCCATACCATCAAGCCAGTTTTCATTAAAAAAAACCAAGACAAGGGTAAAATTAGATGTATGTCCAACAGCATCAAAAAGCTGAAAGCATAAGAGAAAATACTGAATACATTTTCTTTTTAAGTATCCATGGAATATACATGAACATTGATAATTAGACCAAAAAGAAAATATCAATCAATTTCAAAAAGTGGAGATACTACAGACATTTTCTGAGTACAATACACTAAAGCTAGAAATCGATTACCAAATCAGAAAAAAATTCCCCTTGTCCTGGAGATTAAGAAAATTATCTTAAATGATACTTGAATCAAAGGGGAAATAATAACCAAAGTTGAACCTTATAAGATAGAATGAAAGCATAAAGGCAATTGTTAGAGTCTATGGCATCACTGTGTGAATTAAAAAGGTGCTCCTTTTCCAGTAAAAAGACCAACACTGTTGTATCTGTGGGTAGTCAGGGACGATGGCCCTGAGCCCAGCTGGCTGAAAGGTTAGCAGGAGGCCCCGGGAAATTAAAGCCAAAGTGAGTTGGTAGCTGTGGAAGAAGAAGAAAAAAAACACATAAATTTCTCTTCCCTAAGGAAAAATAATCGAGTTTTCCCTTAAGATTGAAAGCAAGCCTCTAGTAAAGTACTCGCTAGCAAGATTTTGAAAGCCAAGAAAAAAATCACATGCAAGGAACATTTTCTTTGAATTTCATATTCTCGGGGACTTGACTCGTAAGGACAAAGAGACAAGACTGCACTAAGTTTAATGAACCTCAGTGGCTTTTCTATAACCCCCCATACCTGTTTCAATGCTTTAGATAAATGACGTCATTTTAACAAGTTATCGTGAAGAGTAATGATTCAAGTTTTCTATCATCTGGTGTAAATGATTCAGGAGTAAGCTAGCTAAGCCTGTGTTCAAAGCCAAGAAAAGTCCCAGTTTGTAATTGTGTTGTTAAATAACCATTCAGATAGTTTCTTTTCACTGCAGTAGAATATTTTTGAACGGACGGATTCCTGACATTATTTTCCTAAAATCACAAAAGATGCAGTGCTCTGGATTCTGTTTCATATGGATAACTTTCTTTTATAGTAGCCTCTCTCCTAGAATGGGAGCAGTAAGGTCTCCAGATGCTTTGGAAGAATGGGGACTCGCCGAGGAGGGCTGACGCTCTGCCATGCCCTTAGATGGTACAGAAACACTGCCATGGAGGTTGGGATTGTAGGGCGTGAGGGTGAGGGAGGGAAATGATGCAGTTAGAATGAGATAAATAGCAACCTAAAAAAGTGAGGAAGAGAAGGACTGTTGTATATCTTTCTGGGGTGAGAAGTAGGTGTAGCTCAAGGTTGATTTTGATGCATGAGTCACCGGGCAGGAGTTTAAGAGGCTTCCATTATGACACAATGGAGACAGAAACTAGGGACAGGCCACAACGGTGCAGTGACAAAATAAAGACCTGGTTGCTAGGGTCAGGAAATAAACACCAGGAGCCTAGAGCAGGAGAGATGGAGCCCCAGCTCCTGGTCCCCTCTCCCACCCCTCCTCCCCCCAAGGCCGTCTAAGATGTCACCTTCCACCTAAACATCATCTCCCTAGTTTTAGTTCTTAACTCTGGTGTCTGACTTCTGTTTGGTTCCACATTTCCCATCCATTTGCACAGAGGACCGTCACCTGCCTGGAATCTCTAAGGTTTTCTGCTTTCCTTGTGCTCTGATGGCCACCTCTGCTAAATCAGCTAAGATGCCCACCCTCTCTGAAACCCTTAAGCCTACTCCCGATCTCCATCAAGAATCTTTGGACCCTAGGATTATGGTTGCCTTATTTGAAATCGGATTACTTCCCCCTTCCACCTGGGGCTCTCTCCCTTCCCTAAAGAATAGTAGCCATCAAGTAACAGAACAACAGACTGAACAGAAGTTTCAAAATCTCTTAAAAGAAATTAAAGATATTCTTAAAGATGTGGCAGATTTTGAAGAGATCACAGAAGCAAAGGAACTTTGTGAGGAAAGCAATATTTCCAAGGATATGTCAGAACTTAAAGACAAAATCAGAGGACTTGATGAAATAAATAAAATGCTATTGAAAAACCTTCTTGTTAGTTTAGACCCAGAGAAAGAACAAAATACAAAGAAACAGGAGGTGATAGTGGAAACCCAGAACTCCAAGAGCACGGTACAAGATTTTGCAAGGGATTTGGAAAATCATTCAGAAGAAAGAAAAGCCCTTCATGAAATTCCACCAAGTAACGAAAAAGCAAAATGCAGATTCCTTAATGTTCAAGAAGAAAATCAGAAACTTAGGAACAACATGGAGCAATTACTACAGGAAGTGGAACGCTGGAGTGAACAACACACCGAGCTCAGTGAACTGATAAAATCATATCAGAAATCTCAGAAAGACATAAAAGAATCTCTTGGGGTCTGTTTCCAAGCCCAACCAAATAACGAAGCGTCAGTTCAGCACAGGCTGGAGGAACAAGTGAGGAAATTGAGCCATGACACCCGCTCACTGCACCTGCTTGCGGCTTCGCTGGAGAACCAATGCCAAATCCTACAGCAGAGGGTGGAGGTTCTCAAGGAGCTGCAGCATCAGAAAGCGGGAACTCTGCAAGGCAAGGCAATTCAGATCAACTGTAAACAGGACAAGAAAGATCAGAAGCCATCAGAAACAGGGAAAGCAGAAACTTATAAGCAGAACATGCAAGAAATGGAGGGTATATTTCAGAAAAAAGACAGATTCTATAGAAGCCTGGATGTTTGTCGTAATAAGAAAGCTCGAAATAACCGGTTCAATACTCGTATTGCAAGAGGTCTTCTGGGAATAAAGAGGCCAACCAGCAGCCTAAGATAGAAAATATCAAAAGCAGCAAAGAAAGTCTACATCTAATACGGCCAACTTCAGGCATGAACAATCACCAAACCTGGGGTAGATCTGCTGGTTCAACCAAGAAAAGAGCTGTAGAATAAGATTAACACTTTATTCATTACCTCAGTAATTATGTAAGTCTGGTCTTTAACAACCATTGTGTCTACATCAAGTTCATAACTTTTCACCTTTACAAAGTAGGGTTTTTTTGGTTTTGTTTTTTTGTAATTATTAGAGAGCCTATGACACTTTAACCAAAAGTGA